GCACTTCGGACTTGGCTTGAATAAATTCATTCAAGAATCTCACATACGAGTATGCAAGTGCTGTTCATATATATTTCAAAATATGTACATCATGTATGTGTTCTTATGAGAACATTTGCTCATACACTTTAAAGCGTTTCGCCCGCTAATGTATTTATATACTTGTCACAGCACCCAACAAACAGCCAGTCAACGTACAGCCCTGTAAGATTACTGCCATAGCACGGATATGCCTAGAATTTGTAATTAGAATTAATTCAAAATGTTATGAAGGCAATTAATTTCCAACAAAAAATTATGCTACCAATGAGCTAAGCAAATTAAAATGCTGCAATCAACAGTACTTTTATTTATGGCGATATTTAGTATGCCATAATTTAAATTGTAGTAGATTTTTGAATTTTTTCACCAAAACATCGCATTTATCTTTTATTTTATTATTATTATTATTTTGATTTCGTCAGTATTTCCAGCGCATTTGTCGCATCTTCCTTTATAACGAAATTATAACACTTTACGTGCCATTTACTATATAATTAATTTTCAACAACTCTAGCGCAGTCTTCCAACACCTAAACTCAGCTGGCTTAAATGGTGAGGTTCTTGTGCGCTTGCAATTACATACAAATATGAACATACATATTTATATGAAAAACTGGTTTTACTGCACACAAAGCACATAAATATGTACATACATATCTTTTACGTACGTTAGTTATTATGCATGTACGTAAGTACGCCGATATGTACGCTACATTGTGTTGGCAAGCTCATACCACTGGTTGCTCTTCTGCTGGCACTTAGTCCAATGTAATCATGGGCTTTGGCATTCTTAAGGCAACTATTTTAAATTCAACTACTAAGCACATGCGCGCACACTCACGTAATTACGCTACGTAACTTATACATACATATGTACATACTTGTATATAAAACTTTTATCCTCTAGATACATTCTCTATCTTTGGCTGTTCATACATACTATGCCGCGCCGTCGTGGTCATAGTCAACGGCCAGGCAAAACGTGCCCAGCCAAGCAGACGTAATAGTTGCAAACTTTGTTTCGCGTGATTCTTTTTATTACTTTATTTATGTTTCATCTGCTGCCCCTTTCGCTTCTACCAATAGCGTTCGTTTTTTATTCTCTGCACATACACACGTTTTAACGTGGTTTTAAAAAACTTTGGTAGGCTGGCACTTGAATGCTTCGCATACCCAAAAATACATATACATACATATATACATATAGGTATTTATGTACATAGGTACTATGTTTTGTACGAAAATAGCTTCAGCAAAGCATTGCGTGATCACGACGCCAAACGACTCTCAACTTTTCGTTCTGCCATTGACTCTGACTTTGGCTTTGATTTTTTCGTAAACTTGTCGGGAAGGAAACATCTTTCGTGCAGTCTTCTTCACTGCGCACTTTGCTTATATTTGTCTCTTAACGTTGCAACATTTGCTTTGCTAACGATCGCCTGGACCCCTTATTGAATTTATGCATGTATCCACGTTTGTATGTATGTATGTAAGAGTATCCTTGTCTCCGAACGGAATTGTTTCTCACATCCCAGCTGGGCCAAACGTTGTAAGCATTTCTGAACAGCTATAATTTTGCCGTTGTCTGCAGCTACTTGCACTGTTTAGAAGTTTTTTTAGTTAGTTGCTTTGCATTGCATTGTACTAACGCGAACAACTGGTTGTTTAAGCGGCTGCAAAAAAAAAACAGTAAAAGCCAGGCACATAAGACGCAAGGTATTGCATGAGGCTGAGGGAAAAAACCTTGATCTTGATCTCAAATATACAAGCAGCAAAAAAATAACTAGGTGCAAGTACAAGCACAATAACAACAACAGCAAACAACAGCGTTTTGGTGTTGTTGCTGTTATACCACACCAGCTCCTCCCACAGCGCGACGGTTTCACATTACACCAATACCAGTTTGCAACCTTGCCTTTGCTTTTATGCATTATTTATTGGTATTATATCCACTATTACACCATTTGTTGTTCTTACAACTATTTTTGCATTTGCTATTATTTTTTGCACGTTCTTCTCTACTTGTATAACTTATTGCGGTTCTCCTTCATGAGCTTCTATGCATTTTTTTATTTAGTGACCCGGTCCAATACCTCCCGTACTCACATATTATATGTATATGTATGTATATAAGTTTGTAAGTGTTTCTTTTGGCGAAACATTCCCTACAAGTATATTCGTTTGACAATGAGTAGGTAGATCCAGGGCGCAAGCAAATAAATCAATTAACATGTTATTAAATATGTATGGCCTTTCATATAAGCATTTGTTAATACTCATAGAACTCAGTTTCAATTCACCCACAATGGTTCATGCAAGGTTTGTCACTTAAATAATATTCGTAGGGCCCCATTTATTTTGGTAAATGTATAGTTTAGGTCCCCCAACTAAGAAGGCATCAAAAATGATTTTTACTTTTTTAATCGTCTTATTTTTACACGTAGATTACAAATCCGTGAGCGGAAAGTGAATTTTTTCAATAATTTATGTATATTTTTCAAATTTTATTTAACACACTTTGCATATATCACATATTCAAGCCAAAATTCTGTATACTTCAGATCACTTAGCTGTAATTACCTGTACAGCGTGTTAAACATTTTCTTATGAGAAAAATATACTGAAGAAATGTAACAGTCACAATTTCTTTTGCGCCGCGATCTGATGGTATGGACGAATATCGGAGATCGTCGAACTCCTTTCCACAATGGCGGCCTTCGGCTGCGCTTCAAAAAAATAACCCTGGTCGGTCCAAAAACGGGGTGTTCATAATTCAATCGCGTCAAACTCCTTTTCGCTGCTCTTAACCTCGATGATAGTTTTCATCACAATGCAGAGTATGTGTAATTATTAAAAACGTTTTTTTTTAATTTTTTTTAATAATATAATACAATTTACTGCTATAAAAACGTTAACTTCGGTTGCACCGAAGCTATAATACCCTTCACAGATACAAAGGTTCCTTACAATAACTTGATTCAGATCTAATTTCGTGAATCGGCAATTAAAAATAAATTTTTTTCCATGCAGGCACTTTACTTCGATCGTTCAGTTTATATGATAGCTATATGACATAGCGATCCGATCTAAACAATTTTTTCGGAGATTATATTCTTGCCTTAGAAAATAACTCATGCCAAATTTCGTGATGACATTACTTCAAATAAAAAAGTTTCCCATACAAGGACTTGCTTCCGATTGTTCAGTTTGTTTGGCAGCTATATGCTATAGTGGTCCGATATCGGCCGTTCCGACAAATGAGTAGCTTCTTAGCGAGAAAAGGGCAAATACAAGATTTCAGATCGATAGCTTTAAAACTGAGGGACTAGTTTGCATATATATAGGCGGACGGACGGACGGACGGACGGACAGACGGACATGGCTAAATCAACTCAGCCCATCATGCTGATCATTTATATATATATTTTATAGGGTCTCCGACGTTTCCTTATGAGTGTTACAAACTTCGTGGCAAACTTAATATACCCTGTTCAGGGTATAAAAATAGAAATATTGAAAAAATTCACTTTCCGCTCACGGATTCGTAATCTACGCGAAAAATAAGACGATTTAAAAAAAAATTTCGTTTTAGAGGCCTCCTTAGCTGGGGGACCTAAACTATACATTTACCTTAATTTTTAACAACATTTCATCTTCAAAAGCAAAAAACTAATATAATTTACCGCTATTAACTTTTAAATATTATTGACAAATATTTATTACTTAACGAAAATAAGGCACGTTATTGCTAGCGAAGTTAAACAAAAAGTTAAAGCAGCACAATATTTACTTTAATCATCTATAAACTTTTCCATAAAAAAACATATAAGCATTTTTAACTAAGTTTTGAGAGACTTGAAACGGCAACTCTGGAAAAAGCTCTCACTACCGGTGCTTTCTCCGTCACAGCTGATTGTACAACTCATCTATTACAATTCATTCATACGGAATTTATTCAGTTATAGTAATCTCGTACAATACAATTCAAAATGTGCGCTGCACATGTTGAACCAACAGTTCTTGATGCCGTTTTCGAATCCGTTTGTTTACTTAACCAGTGATAACGTGATTTCAGTCGGCCGTAGCTCGAAATGTGTGCTAATAAAGCAATTTTCCAAGTTTTATTGCTCTCGAATTGTTTCAAAATTATACCTAGTGCATATAAATTGAAAATATTTAAGTGACAATGTTGACAAATACTCCGTTTTGTGTTATATTAACAAATTATGACGTTGTATTCAACGGTGCGTCATTGACCACATTTGTTTGTTCGAAAGACACTTGCCGGGAGGACATACCATGTGAGACAAGTGCATATAACTATGTAAATATCAATTAAATATACTAACAGTGAACAAAATTTGCTCATTTGGTTTTGTTTTTCACTGTTGTGACTAACGGTTTGATGTTTTTTGTTCATACAATTTTTTTTATTTATTTTTTTTTATAATTTTCAGTTATTTTATTTTTTTCTGACAAACGATAATCTCAATAAAAATGTAATAGTGTGTCGATCCTCACAAAGTCCTCAATTTCATGACAATCCACTAAACCCGCAAATCTGGCAAGTCGTCCCAATAATTTGATCAGTATAGGAAACAGTTATGTGGCAACAATTTCCATAGTCTAGACATATAAACAGTTATTTGAAATTCCAGTTGGTTTAGTGCGCAGTTAACTAAAAAGTTTATAATATCTGAACAAATTCTTATATAATTAATACAAAACCGTTATTAAGTTAACAAGGTCATTTCAAAGTCAAAAAGACCGCAAAAAAGTTAGATATTTTCAAAATTGCATTAAAGAAAGTATTCTAATTTCCCGTTATTTCCAGGAAAGCAGTGCTATAGTGTTTCCGTTAATTCTAGGAAATTTTGTACAGTTAACACCTCTCAAATATTAGAGAAATTTTATTAAATATGCAATTTTTATTTATAAAACTTTTCTCTCTTTTCCAGTTGGAGGTACTGCAAGTGCACGGACCGAACGGTTATCACCAGCAGTTCCAACTTTGACAGCTGAAGCAACAGCCACCGAAACTACTACATTACCACTACCCCACACATCGATCACATATCCCCAACCACAATCACCTCCACACAAGACACCCTCGCCGTGCAGACCGCTGGGCCAGGAGGGTTTTGGTAAAGAAACAGAAGACTGTAAAAAGGATTCGCAGGCGGATTCTTACATTCAAGCACCAAAAAGTGAAAAAATTCAAAACCTAAAATTATCTGTTGAAACTGCAGAGCAAACTGAAGACGTGGTGCAAATAGATAAGCCACGTTTCTACTCTTCGATTTTAGGTGGTAATAAACCCTATAGTGGTGTGGTATTGACACAAGCCCAACGTAAAGAATATCCGGTTGAAGTTGTAAATCGTCGATTAACAGCAACTCCCATTGAAGATAGTTCCAGTGATTCTGATTCGGATGCGGAAGGCTCCAAACTAATTGTTGATGAAAAACCATTGGTTCCTGAAGATAAACCACTTTCATTGCGCTTACGAAGTACTCCGCCACCATTAGAGAAGCGTCCTAGTCCACCCCCGCCACCAGAACCAGCAGTACGGTGCAGTGTTATACAGCGCACTCCAAAACCTGCGCCAACACCACCTCAACGTGCAAATCAACACGAAGTTTTACTGCCACCCGGCTTTCTTGAACATCTCGGACCCGAACAGCAAGAGCCTATTGACTATCACGTGCCGAAACGACGTTCGGCTTCAATCGATAGTGACGAAGAGCAAACAGATTCGTTGAACACAAAGCGTTTAGAACGTGAACGAAAATTGCGTGAAGCTCGTAGACGTAGCGCAATATTAGCAGCACGTGCTGTGCTTGCCCAAGCGAGACTTAATCCTCGTCTGGTACGTAGTATACCTGGTATCTTGGCTGCAGCAGCTGGACACGGACGTACATCGTCTACAGGAGCCGGTCAAGGTTTCCAAGGCTCTAGCGGCTTCGGTGGAAATAATTCAGGCAACGGCAACAATCAAAGCCCAAGCGGAGGTGCAGGTTCACCTACAGGCTTTGGTGGTGCGTTAGGTGGCAGCGGTGGTGCTGGAGGTGGTATGGGCGGCGGTCGTGACGGTCGCAGTAATTACGGTCCAAATTCACCACCATCTGGTGCTCTTCCTCCATTCTACGAGAGTTTAAAAAGTGGCAACACAATGAATTCATCATCATCAACATCGGCGAATTTTAATGGAAATTCAAATTTCCTTATACAAAATGCGGCGGCAGCTGCTTACTTAATGTCTGCAGCAGGTGGAAATGGCGGCGGTCAGCAACATACAAATAACTATTTAGACTGTAGTCCAACGAATGGGAACAGTGCAGGAGGTGTGGGTAGTGGTGTGAACGATAGTGGTAACGGTGGTTTGGAGATCACAACATTTGCCAATGGCCAGGGTAACACAAATTATTCTGCGCATGCGCAAAATAATAAATATAATAATAACTCTTCTCCCTCTACTCAACATCATCATCATCATCACCATCATGGACATCCGCAATATGGCAATAACCCATCAGCGTACGGCATTATACTGAAGGATGAACCGGATATTGAGTATGACGAAGCCAAAATTGACATCGGTGCTTTCGCGCAGAACATTATCCAGGCTACTATGGGGAATTCGGGAAATTTTAATGCTGCAGCCTATGAAGACGCCATCATGTCGGATTTGGCAAATTCGCAAGGTCCCAACGGCTCGGTAGATCCATTACAATTCACCGCCACACTTATGCTGAGCTCACAGACAGATCATTTACTGGAACAACTCTCGGACGCTGTCGATCTCAGTTCTTTTTTGCAACGTGAATGTGCGGACGATGAGAACTCCACCAGTCCACGACAGGATTTCGAGCTGGTTTCAACACCATCGCTCACGCCCGACTCGGTGTCCATAACGCCTGTGGACACCAACAATGGAAACCATCTCGATACATTCCACGAGAGTCTTATACAACAAATAACCAACAACATTTCGCGCAATCACATTGGCAGCAACCAAAATGGTAACATGCAATCATATCCATTTGAGCGTCAGCAACATTTGAACGGCAACCAGCAACATATGAGCAACGAACAGCATAATGTAAATCATCAACAGCAACAACCACCACCATCCTATCAACATGCAACACGTGATTTGTTGCAATTACAGCAACAGCAACAACAACAACACCATCATGCACAAACGCATTCTTATCACCAACAGCAGCAGCAGCAGCAACATCAATCCAACTCCATGTTGCAACACGGTGGTCCAATGTTGTTGGCCCAGCAACCACAACAACAACATGCCTACCAACAACACCCTCATCCATACGGTCCAACGCAGCATCATCACCAGCAACCGCATCACATTGTGCCGCCTCACCATATGCAACATCATCATCATCATCATAGCAGCGATAACAGTAATTTGTCGCTGCCCTCACCGAATGCGGCACATCTGTCAGCGCATCACGGCATGTCGTCGGCAGCGAGCAATTCGTCGGGCGCCTCCACTTCCGGTCTGCTAGACGCCAGCACGGCCATGCTCGACACAAAGCCGCTGATACAAAGCGTAAGTCCCACACATTCGACCGGCAGTTCCAATGCAAGTTCTTGCGTTATGGGCTCAAGTAAATTGAGCACAAGCTCATCTTGTGGCTCCGCATCGATGGTGGCGTCAGCGTCACTGCGTAGTGTAGCTGCCGCTGGCATACTGCCACCATCGCCCACTGTCGCTATGCTGCATGAAAGCAAAATGCTACAGCAGAGGGTAAGCATCAAAGTCAAAGCAAAAGCAGAAATCAACATAACACTTTGTTCTATCGTTTGATTGTTTACGTTTTGTTTGAATGCTATAACGGTTTTTCATGCACGTACCAACACATACGTAGTGTATAACCTGTGCGGCAGCAAGGGATTGCATACGCGCGGACTTCACGCACATAGCGCTGCTTACGTCATATTTTGTGAGCCTAGCTTGTATCTAATCCTCTGCTCCGCACGCGGTTGTAGGCTCTAGGCTGTTGTAAATAACCGCTACATGTAAATACCTACCTATTTCGTATATCTTCTGCTTGAAGACTTGTACATAGCTAATTGCAAGGCATCCTGCTAGTTGTAGTTGTTTATATGAATAACGTTGACTATGTTAGCTGTTTTGTGCGCCCAACGAACTTGTTTTGTAACTCTTCAAAATGTTGTACCTTTTTGTTTTTACATAAAATTTAATTTTCTTCCCCCCTCCCTGCTTATTTATAGTTGGGTCTGCCACCAGAGGTGCAGCTGGAGTTCGTCAACGGCGGTCATGGCATTAAGAATCCGCTTGCTGTGGAGAACACACACTCAGGTCACCACCGCATACGCAGCATCGATTGCGTGGACGATTTGAAGAAGAGCGGCAACATCAGCACTGACGGTTCGGAAAGCGGCGGCGGCGGCGGCGGTGGCAGCAGCTGTGCCGGCGACGGCTCCAAATTCGTTTGTCGCATTTGTCTGAAAGCGTTCTCGCTGCAACGCCTGCTGAATCGCCACATGAAGTGTCACTCGGAAATCAAACGCTATCTGTGCACCTTCTGTGGCAAGGGCTTCAACGATACTTTCGATTTGAAGCGTCACACGCGCACCCACACCGGCGTGCGTCCGTACAAGTGCAACTTGTGCGAGAAGAGCTTCACGCAGCGCTGCTCGTTGGAGTCGCACTGCCTCAAGGTTCATAGCGTACAGCATCAGTACGCCTACAAGGAGCGCCGCGCTAAGGTAAAAGTGAGATGTTATTGACAATTTATGTACTTTCTAAATTTTTTGTATTTTCTTAATTTATTTTTTTATTTTATTTTATTTTTGTATATAAAATTATTTGTTTATTTTTCGTATATAAGTTTTATTTATTTATTTATTTTTTACTGTGTATATTCTTAATTTATTTTATTTTATTAGATTTTCTTAACTCTTTATTTTCTTTTCTATTTTCTCAATTGGTTTTATTTTATGTTTCTATTTTCTTAAATTTATTTGTGTTTTGTATATAATTTTATTTTTTTTTTATATATTTTGTTTTTGAAGTTTTTTAGTTTATTTTTTTTTGTATTATTCTTTGTATTTCATTTTTTTTTTATTCTTTGTATTTTTTTTTTTGTATACATATATATAAGCTTATTATTTTTATTTTTACTTTGTATTTACCAAATTTATTTCATTTTAAGTTTTTATTTTCTTAATTAATAATATTTTAAGTTTTTATTTTCTTAATTAATTATTTTTTTTTTCCTAAATTATTATTATTTTTTTTCTTAATTATTTTATTTTGTTAATTAATTATTTATTTTTTTTTTTGGATTATTCTTAATTTATTTTCTTCTGTATTTTTCTAATTTGTTTTTTTTGTATGTTTTATTTTTTTTTTCTTATTTTATGTATTTATTTGTTTTCTTATTTTATTTAATTTTTTTTTATTATTAATTTTTTATTGTTAATTTTCTTATTATTATTAATTATTTTATTATAATTTAATTTTTTTTTTGGTATTTTCTTAAATTTGGTTTGTGTTTTCTAACTTATTTTTGGAATTTTGTATTGTTTTATTTTTTGTTTTTGTATGTTCTATTTAATTTTTTTTATTGCTATTTTTTTTTTTTTTTTTTTTTTGCTAACTTTTATTTATTTAAATTTTTTGTTTTTTGTATTTTCCTAATTTATTTTCTTTTATTTTTGTATTTTTCTAATTAATTTTTTTTAGTATATTATTTTGTTGTATAGTTGATTTTTTGTTTGTATATTTTATTATTATCTGTTTAATTAATTATTATTTTTATTTTTCGAATTGATTGATTTATTTTCTTTGTTTTATTTTTTGTAGATGTATGTTTGTGAGGAGTGCGGTCACACGACTTGTGAGCCCGAAGTGCATTACATCCACTTGAAAGAGAATCATCCATACTCGCCCGCTTTGCTGAAGTTCTACGACAAGCGTCACTTTAAGTTCACAAACTCGCAATTCGCCAACAACTTGCTGGGTCAACTGCCAATGCCGGTGCATAATTAAGTGTAGTGCTCTGCCAAGTAGTTCACATGCATACATACTTATAACGTAGTTAGATCAATTGACACATTTGAGTTTTCGAAAAACTGCCCATAAACGGAGATTATTATATATTTTGCTTACCTTTTACCACTTGTACTATAACATTATTGAAAGCGCGTATTTCATTTAAGTTCTTTTGGCTACATTTTTTATTGTGAATTTTTTTTTCATATACTTTAAATTTACTACAAAACATGTTTGCATTGCAAACTTGCTGCGTGACGGCTTCTCTGCATTGTTGACTTGCGCTGGAGTGAACACAATGCGTCTGCATTGCAAACATACATACATATACATATACATTAAGAATTTTCGCATATTTATTGAAAGAGAAAGACATACGGTTAGGCAAAATGTTTAATTTTTAGCGCACACTTTTAGCTCATGTATATTTATTAGATAAATTGAAGTCATATTTAAGTTGCTAACATTGCGTAACTAATTCTCATTACCTTTAAGTTTGTAATATATTGGGAGTTTTACATTGTAAAGTTTGTACAAGTAATTTTGGCGCGCATAAAGCATTTGCCGCTGCCTTAAGCATAAATATAAAAGTGTATATATATATTATATTACTAGAATCTACTAGAGCTAAGCACAACACGAAATTATGCTTCGTAAAGAAATTTAAACCGCTAATTTAGCTTAGTGTTAGTGCAGTTGCGGTAAATTACGCATTTGCAGTTATTTCTTATAAACCATTTAGTTATCTCATGGCAAAGCAATGAAAACATTTTCGAACTTTAATAGATTTTGAATTAAAATTTCTTTTCTTTACTAATTGCAAGTTGAACACCCAGTTTATTAGCCTTATAAAGTATCATGTACATTTTTCCTTCACATTTTTCATATTATATTACAAAAATACCGTTCGCTTTAGTTATAAAGAATATTGTTATTTTTTTTTTTTACTTTTAAATTTTTTTTATTTCAATTTGAAGTTAATTTATTGCAAATAAATGAATTAATGAACATAAACAGCAACAACAACAAGTGTAAAGAGGCGTAATTACAATTAAAAAAAAGATATATTAAGCAACAAAAACCGTTAGCTGCGCTTAATTTCTTTGTAAATTTCTGCAGTTGACGGCGCACATTTAGATTTATTAGTTCTAAGTCCAAGCTAAGCAAAAAAAAAAAATGAGAATATTCGGCGCACTGCTTTTTGCTGCTCATAAATGAGGCAATTGCGTTAAAGTAGCATACAAATTTTGCAATTGTGTTAAGCTAAGCTTTAATATATAAATATTATTTAATTAATAAAAAAAAGCAAACTTTTAGTTTTGTAATTTAGCGCCTAAGCGATTTGCGAAAGTAAACGAAAATAAGTGAAACCACCAATTTGTACTGATTTGAATCTCTTGTTTAATTACTACTTACTTATACATACAAACATACATACACACATACATACATGCATATATATAAATTTATATAAGAAGCGTGTTAGCATAATTTTTTGCTTAGAACATTTTTTTAATTTTTGTTTTTGTTTAATTTTCTTTTTTAGTAATGCATTAATTTTAAGTTGAAAAGAGAACACAGCCAACACACAAGCTGTTTAAGGTAATTAAACATACACACATACACGCACTTATGCACACATATTAATATACTGAGTATAATTAATAAAGGCTTTATCTACGCTAAAAACAAAAAAAAAATTGAGTCAAATATACGCTATTTTATTTACTAGAAATTTCGTTTATGAGCAGCAACAACAAGAGCGCGCTGACAGCAGTGCAGAAGAGAGCGCACAGTAAACGGCGAGCTGGATATTAAAAGCGAAAGAGATGAGCTGAGCAGCGAAAAAGTTTAAAATTCAGTTCCAAAAAAAAATTTTTTTGTTTTCTCAAAAAGAGGAAAATTTTCAAAATCTTGTTTCGAAAATTTGTTTTTCCAAGCAATCCGTCTCTCTTTCTCTGTCGCTCCCATGCGCGCGCACAGTTTACGCAAATCATAATTTATTTGAAATAATCGGGTTAATTGTGCAATCAACGGTGATGGTTATTACTTAAGCGACAGACACTCACACTCATACACATACACACACCCACAAGCATAGCAATAAAACTACATTTTCGTTTAGTCGTTATAAATATACTCGTATATATTTTTAATATTAATATTAATCGTTAATTAAGTCGCATTTAGTTGTGTAGCGGCAACGGCTGCTCGATGACAGCAGCAAAACAACAACAACAACATTACCCACCATTCCAACATTTACGCTAACTCACCACGTTCACTAGCTCACATAGCAGACTCTCTCTACTCCAGTCATGTTCGTCTTCACTCATTTGTTGATAACATTTAGCTTTATAAATATATGTATATTTTTCATATATTCTATAATAAACAGTTTATGTACTATGTATACTAATACATAATACTCCTGGTATACTTTATTAAGTAAGTCTTAATTTTTAGTTTTGTGAAATATTTTCTACTTTATAAATTAATATCTAGCTTTAAAGGCATATATATGCTGCCCTTCACTTTATTTCTTCGACTAACGGTAATTGCTGTTATCGTTTTGTATTTGCATTTTTTATGTATTTAATGTATTTAAGCTGGACAATTTTATATTGCATTCGTTTAGTTTAATTAAGTAAGCACAGTATCAACTTTATAGAAACTAAATGCAATTTGTATTGAATTAAGACAAGAAAATTAGTGAAAATGAACTCAAACACATGTTTTGCGCATACTAAGCATTAAAAAATGTGAAAGCGAACATTTGAAATGAATTATCGTGTAAAATTTATCAACAAAAATAAATGAAAAACTTATTTAAAGCAAAAGCACAGTATTTTCTTGGTTTCGGGAAAATGTATAACGGTTTGTATGAAGTTTTGGTATTTAGCTTCGTATTTAAGGCGTTATAACTAATTGCAAGTCAGAAAAAACGCGTTTTCTGAATTTTTTTTGAAAAAACATTTTATTTATAAATAAATAAAAATTTACATTTGTATGATTTAATGTATTTAATAATCGATAATTTGATCTGAAATATTAAAGATTTCCTAGAACCATTAGACGATCTCCAGGAGGACATATGAAAAATGGTGTCTAGCAGTGAGAAGTATTTTTGAGCTAAAATCCAAAAATAATTATTTCAATAGATAAAATATGCAAATAAGGGGTTACATAGGTTTCGTTGAGAGAACAACGCCCTATTTTCAATAAAACAAATTTTATATAAAAGTTAAATATTTTTATTATTTATATTTTTATATTATATATAATTTTTTTTTCATATAAAAAATTAAACTTTTTATTCAAACTTTTTACTATTCCAAACATATAATTTGATAAAGATTTGGTGAAATTTTCAAAGGAAAATACTCAAAACTTGGTCATTAAAGCGTCATTTCCGTTAATCGCTCGGAAAAAAGGTGCTTCCGCGTTGACAGCAGAATTTCTGACAGCATCATCAAAAAGAAAAAAATACGTGTTTGAACTAAGACCATTAACTAGGTATTGGACGGAGAAAAAACAAATAAAGTGATAATTGTATTTTTGGCAGACGTTTTTACAAAAAAAATGCAAATTTTGGTGAAAATTTCTCGACGTTTTTTTGTTTTTTTTTTTAACAGTTGTAATTGAAAAAAAAAATCCTTCGTGCAAGACATAATAAAGATCGGTGGAGTAGTTCATGAGGAATCTTGACAACCGACTATGAAATCACAGTTTCGAGAAAAACGCGTTTAACTTTTAAATGACTATGTGCCCCTAAAATTATTACTGCTATCAACTTTAGGAATTAGGACAATATTCTAGAGATGCTATAGAATTAAATAAGACAATAAAAAAAATCTTATTTTTTGAAGCCGTGAAATCCATGTAGTCTCTTAATGATCGAAGGACTGGTAAAACTTTCGATTTTTGACAAAATGGCGATTTTCGAAAAAAAAATCGTATTTTCTAAAAATTTACGCTTTAGAGTGGCTTAAAAACGGACATTATTATCAAAAATTTTCTTACTTCGATCATTACCTGACAATGATATATTTACAAGAAGGTCGTGTGAGAATTTCGATCGTTTCAGTCGTTTGGGTGAAATTTTCTTCTGAAAACAGCGATAAGCAGACCAAATGATTGGTGCAGATTTTTTTTGAATCTTCTAAACGGAATCACACCAGCAAAGCAAACTCGGTCAGTTGACATGTTCCCATAGTCACCAGCGCAGAGCTTCGTACAACAATAAATAATGTAGAGTCTCCAAATTCATTAATTTGGACGAAATATCTAGGCTGATGATGACGCAAATAGGCATACGGAAGTCAAGTTCCTCACAAAGCTCCTCAACCTGTCCTTAGCTACTAGCACTATTCCGGAGCAATGAAAGCTGAAGGAAAGCTGATCCCAGTCCTGAAACCAAACAAAAACTACTACTAGACCAACCACATCGACCGAATATGTTTGTAAAGTGTTTTTTTTTTAAACTTTCTGTAGAACCATTATTGCCTCTAACGATCTGTGAAAGATTTTCCATTTCTGAGATTTTAATACTAAACTGTGTAATTTCCATTTTACTTATTCTAATTCAAAATAATCTCTAGGAAGCAGCATAAAAGGAATAATAACAATAACATACCTAACTTTGATCTAACTAACTAACATCTAAATCAATGTCAAATTACTTCGGCCGAACAGTTTCAACCCCTACCTGTTTAGCGTATAAAAATAGAAATTTTTCTAAAATATAGTTAGCCGTCTCGAAGCGCCTTTTTTCACCGAAAGCCAATCCTATAATACTTACAAGAAATCATATTAAAGCGCTTCAAAATTTATCAATCCAAATAGATAATAACAACAACAGCACTGCAATTAATCGATTTTCACTCATTGATTTATTTATATAATTTATTTCGTTTTATTTTTTAATGTAGTTAACTTTTATTGGTATTCAACGTTGTCTACGAACTAGTACTACTTGATAGTTACAAAGGCGTTTCTTTTACTTTTACATTTAGTTAATATTATTATTATTTTTTTTTTTAATGTAAGAATTCTCTTTACAATAATAATGCTTAAGAGTTATTATATGTAAGCTAACAGTTCTGTTGTGTTTTAGAGATGCAATAATTATTATTTTTTTTTTATTCCTAAATGTTTACAAACAAATGTATTTGTTGTTGGAAAATTAATTCCTTAAACAATTCCTTTAATCTCGTTGATAGTTTAATTTAATTATATATAATTATTGTGATGCGGCGGAAAAAAGGAAAAGTTTATTAATAAGTTATCTACTGGGTATAACAATAAGGTTTCCGGGATTCGTTTTCTTAATAAAATTGAAAGACTTGTACTTTTTCCTTCACTCAGTTTTTAGAAAATAAATGCTGCTACTTGGAAAGTTCGCCTACTTTTTAATCGTATTTTAAGAATCGGAGTGAATATATAATATAGTTTTAATGGTATAATCACTACGCTTATAAAGCTTACAAATTTTAATTGATTACTGGTTTTTCTTAATATACATTTTTTCAGTTAAAGGAAATTTTATTGATAACAGCAAGTTTTAAATCACTAGAAGAAGTGCTAAAGAAATTTTTTTAACAAGTTTTTGGGTAATAAAAATATTATTATTATGTTTAATATATAAGTACTAAAGAAAATTGCTTAACAAGTTTTTTTATAACTCAAAAAAACTTATATATTAAACATAATTATTGTTTCTAAAAATAATAATTTCGAAAAATTATACTACATAATATTAAACTCTAACAATTTTTAAAACAGATTTGTTTAAAAAAAGTTTTGAGAGAATTTTTCAACAAAAAAAAGCCAAATATTATTTATTGAGCAACGAAAAATATTCTAAAAGTTTTTTTGCAAATTTACTTAGCTTTTTCATAGTTTTAAGTGTCATTTTTTTTTGTAACTCGAAGAAAAACGTTAAATATATTTTCTAAATTAAAATTTTTAGAAACATAAAATTTAAAAGTAATCCAATAAACAGTTAACTTGAAGTTTCACCAAGTAGAACTGTTAAAAACAAAAAAAGTATATATAAACACCAAATTAAATTTTTTTTCCAAAAAGTTGTCAAATATTGTAACGGCTTGTATACTTATAACTATTTAGAATTTTTTTAGCAAATTTAAATAAAACCATATTTTTTCTAATAATATTTTTTCTTAATACAGAATTGTTGTAATAATTTTGCGTTATAACAAAGGCATTTAAAGCGACAAAGTACTTTCCGAAATTTTAAAACTTAAAATTTACATAACACTCCCTATATCTCGAATATTGAAACATATAGTAGGTATGTTGCTTTTAATTTCTCAATAAAGCCAGGAACATAGTGAAGTAAAGAGAAGAAAGACAGACCAATATTGAAAAAATACTATAAAAAAAATATAGTTACTACAACAAAAACAATAAGTATATATAACGAAATTTAGCGATATAATTTTTTACCAATAAAGATTTTCAGCCAATTATGGGTTAAAGCTAAAGCAATATAATATTCATGTTTTAAAATTTTTTTTTATATTACCATAACGATTAGTTCCATTTTAGGTACGATTAATTAACTGAACATTTTTGAAAAAAAAAATATTTTAAAATTGATTGCAATTAAAAAAAAAATTCTTCGAAACATAATTTAAAACTCATGGAAAATTAAAATTGTAGGTTTACGGGAAACTAGAAACTTTTAATAAATAAAAAAAATTAAACAAATGATATTTTGAAAGACCTTTCACACTTTAAAAAAATTGAGAAAATTTTATTAAATAATTAAGAAAACCAAAACCAAATTTTAATAACAAAATTTTGAACGTAATACAATTTAAAATCTGATAAAACAACAACAATCAAGCTTAAAATAACTATAAATATATATTAAAGGAACATATTAAGGCAAATATAGAAAATTTGTTGCTTAAGGAAAATTAATAAACTGCTTCACAGACAAATTAACACCGATAAACAAGTTGAAAAGCAATATCTTTTAATTAAGGAACAATTTGTAATAATTATGAAACTTAAACAGGATACTACTTGTAAAACTTAAAAAATATTGGCAAAAAAGTATATATGCATGTAGTATGCAGCAATTTGTTTTCTCTCCACTGTCCAAACTCCAACACACACACTACCGGTTCAACAGTTTCGTAGTGACACAAACTTCGAAACACCATTCCTCGAACCACATGTCCTAAACCGGTATACCAGTGCGGTCCTTAATCTTACCGAGCACATTAACATGCACCTTCGAATAGCCACTGGACTTTTTGCCCAAAGTGCCCATGCTGCCGCTGGGTCCAGCACTAATACCGCCGGCACCAGCAGCGTCGATAGAAGAACACGACAATGGCGATGAGTTCTTCGATTCCAAATGTGACGAGCGATGCAAGGAACGATGTAGAGACTCGTGCGACACCATATCATCGCTGCTCGGATGCATATGCTGTGCGGAGGGTGTATAGCCGGGTTGCAGCTTCTCCACCTCATCGTCGATTGCCTTGAATTGCCAACTCCAGTTGGCGCGATACAAAAATGGACGATGATCGAAACGGTTGTCGTCCGGACTGTAGCTTTCGGCGTGCACCGATGGGGTGAGGACAGTCATTTTATGGCGATTGATGGCGTAGCAGCGGAAGAAGTGCTTCACTTTGTCGGCGACCTGAAAGACAAGGCATAAGAGGATGCAATTAGCAACTTATTTGAATTTGAAGAAAATTAAAAAAAAAAAATGACGCACCTCTTTCGGACTCATGTCGGCGCGCCAAGTGGCCACCAACTTACAGAACATACTGTACGGCCCACAGCTGGCTTGTTTGCGCAAGCGGCCATACTCGCTCAGCTCTGCGTAGGTCATGCCCATGTCTTGCTCGTCAGTTTGAACGAGTTGACCATCCTGCAGCGGCTCCAGTTCGGCAGTGGGTGGAGCTTCGATAATTGACTCCAATACGGTTAAATTAAACTTCTCTTTCGCGTAGTTGAGAAAACGACGTAAGTCCGTTTTCGAAATCCCGCCGATGGGGTTCACATCCGCCGACGAGCAATCATACTTCGTCATATATCCACGCAGCGCTTCGTCAACATTCGCCGAGCCGAGCACTAGCAGTCCGCCTGGCCGATTGCGCACCCACAACATCAGCTGTGCAAACATATACGCCAAGACCATGCGAATGCGTGACTGGATATTCTGCAGTGCGAGATTTTGGCGCGCGCAACCGCCCTGAGTACGAAAACGCGGCGACAGACCGGTGACCGCATTGAATATACCTAACAGAGCATTAACGGCAGTGTCGATGCTGATTTCGATGTGATAGCTGCCCAATTGATTGGCCAATTGCGCAGCGCGACGTCGCGTCTCCTTGCTGGAGTTCACGCTGCCCATAAAACAGGTGACCAGCAAGCGATTGCACAAGGTTGCAGGATTATCCGGTGTGTATTCAGAGTCAGCTAGAATTTTACGTATATCGTGGAGTACCTGTGCATCGCCGCCTTGTACGGCATTCACGATCATGCGACACATGGAGTAGACAATTGTAGCGGAGCTACTGGAGTCGACACCACCGCTGAGCGGCAGAAAGAAACCACCCTGACCCGAGCGGCGTAGATAGTCCCACAACCAGCAAGCGGGGCCCATCGCGATTTCCTCTTCGGGCGTATGATAGATCCATTGCATTGGCGTGGAGGAGCTCTTGAAGATGTCGTTGTGCGTTGACATCTCAAAGTCGCAGTTGATGCGCGGATAGTTGGGCGCCGAGGCGGAGAATGTGCAGCGTGAACGTTGCGACACACGATACGAGCGGATCTCCTCCAAATCAATAGTGGCTAAAGTGACTTCCTGTAAGAAACAGTCAAATTGTTTTCGTGATTCAAAAATAAATATATAAATTAAGGAAGTCTTACCACATCCTGCAGCGCAAATTGCTTGCTACGTGCAACAATTTCCCCATTCATGGCTATCGCCGAGCAGCCATTGAAGTAGACACGTTGCCCATCGCAGCCGCGCAAATTGCTAAAGAGATAGGCGCCGCCTGCCTTGAAGCTAGCATTGCGTATTAGATCGGTGCTAATGTGTGCCTTGCGCAGTTCCATGTATGATCCAGAACCGTTGACAATGATCTCCACACCCGAAAGTGACATATCGATATGTTTGCTAAAAGTTGGATGCACAGAGAGGAGAGTTAAAATTAGTTAAAGTTTTGCGCGTTAAATACTTGGAGCATATATAATTCAAATGCCATCACATATCTAGCTCTCAGCATACTAGTAAAAACTAATTGATGCAGCTATTGTAGCTCTGATTTCATATCACGTCACTAACTTGTCTCTAATCAGGATACGGTCTCATTACGAAGACCTATGAGTAGGCAACAACAAGTCATCCATTTTAAGACCTTGCTAAGTGAAAGACAATTGTGGAGTTCCAATCTATATTAAGAACCGAGACCTAACTTGTTATCTTTCCCCATCGCGGACCCACGCAGCCGAAAGATAATGTTGGGAGAGCCGGTGAAGTTCAGGTGCTAACATAAAACAGCTGAGGACCTAATACCTACATTTGTGGAAGAGGCGATACTCGTTGTCTACGAACTCGGCTCCATAGTGGTCATTTATTTTCATCATTTCTTTATGAGACTCACAATATCAAGTTGAATTATTCATTCATTTTTCGCACGAGAGTTTCGGCTCTAAATATTCGGAAGCGATTTAGATAAAATTATATTCGGGGTTCATAATTGGTGATAGGAATTTATTACAAACTGGTTAAGCAGTTTGTTGCTTTGTCTAAGCTTTTGATTATTGTTGCAAACTTCTTTTGCATTTTTGTCGTAGAACTTTCGGTTGTGGTCGTGAACCTGAGAAATCTGCAGCTTTCTGTTTTTGGCAGGCGGCAAGAAAGATTCTCCAAATAGTTTAAAGAAATGTTGACGAGGCAGACCTTGGTATGATAGAAACCTGAGCCCGTTCTGGTTTCAGAAACCCGAAAGTCTTTTGAACGGGTTCCGTTCCTCCATACTAACTGCAAATATGTAATTTTTACAACTTCTATACCTTTTATTTATTTTATTTATCCTTCTTTGCTTTTTAGTGATTCCCCGTTATAATCTTACTTATACTGCCTACCCTAGTACCTCAACTAAGTAATTTAACGCACATCTATGAACTCTATTTTATATAAAATAAAATCTTACCTGCGAACATTCCATAATTCCTCGCAAATCTCATAACCGATGCATGTGTCCTTAGTAGCGATAACGGCATCACCGATTGGCACCGATGTCTGCCCGGTGTGTTGAGAAATCATACGAGGCAAGTAATGCTCCTCCGTTTGAAGAGACTAATTGGGAAGAAAGGTAATACATTAATTATGGAGGAAAAGTTCAGAAGTACTAAAAAAAAATTAATTGTCATGAGTTCGATCAGCCCAAGGTAAGGAATTTGTATCTACAATGTAAATCGAAAAGGTTTATGTATGGAATTTAACCCACCTTTGTCCAGGAAGTGAACCAACGTGATTCTCTATAGTTGTCGTCATCGGCCATTGCCATTTTCGGGCGTATTAGCAATATTTGACGATTGAAGAAGGCAACGCGACAATTGTAGGCAACATTACGGTGCATAACCGGCATGCCAACATCGATGAGCATATTTTCGCTGCAAAAGAGAGTTGAATAAGAGTTTCTTGCTGCAGTTTGTATAGCGGGAGCTTACCAGAGCGGCGAGAGCATTATCTCCAGCAGCACTTCCCAAGAGTGCAGATATGTATCGGGCTCGAAAAAGTGATCTTCGCAGCTGTAACCACTGCAACAAAGAAATGAAATAAATAATAATAAAGGTGTCTAAAGTGAAGTGAGACAAGTGCGGACTTACGTTATTTCCAATTCGGGACCGGTGCGGTAGCAGGCGCCCATATCCTTCGCCTCCAAGATGGACTGCAGTATGCGCGCCAGATTGCCCTCAAAGTCGAGCGCCCATTGGTTGAGCGTCGACACGGCGACAGTGATTTTGCGACCCATTTCGTTGAATGACGACTAACAGCTGGCAAGAGCGACAATGCGAGGAGTTGAGCACGTACGGTGCTATGGCAGTAAAAACGTCAAACACACTGTTATCAATAGCGGTTTGCCTTTGTGGGGCTTAAAGCTGACGGTGTTGTTCGCGAAAATGTTAACCTCAAAATTTATTGTCAATAGGCGGCTGAGTGTGTTGAGTGCTTGAACGCAATGTGGCAACTTGAGCGAAAAAGGCTGCGGGCAACAGGTGTGACCTAGTTAACTATCTGTAATTATAGTAGAACAAAATCGAAATTACTCTTTCAGCATGGAAATTGGTTTAAAATTCAATTAGAAAATAAATGATTGCGACTTTGCAAATATTCCCACACACAATTAACGGGTGGGGAGCTAATAAGCTCAAAATTGCGCGTCTAAATTAATAATAAATTACACGTTTTGAGTTCGACGTGATGACGCACGCTAAGTCCTTAAAATATGTGCAACTGCAAGGATACCAAATGCCAGCACAAAAGTCGCTGTAACGCTATGCGACGCGTTTCGGTTTGTTATTGTTTGTTGTCGTCTGGTTCGCCTCAGTTGGTTGTTTAGTTAACGAGCTCGGCATGTATCGAAATGGCAGTCGCTTTGACTCGCCCATTTCCACCCAAGTAGAATTACCGGTATCGATCAAACATTCGTCAATGGCGATTTGCTTAATCGAGTTCATTATGCACAATGGGGATTCGTGGAAATTTAGGGGGATGCGATTAATTACTTAGAATTAAGTTGCTTTTGTGGTTTCGAATATTTAAGTATTCCATTCGAAAAATGTAAAAAACAAGGACAGTAATATAATCGAGAAAGCTTAAATAAATGATATATGAGTTGGTTGCGGTTTTTATCAATGAATGTGAATAAGCTCGATTTAAATACCAAGGAATGGTAGTTTATTGCACCATGCACTAAATGGCTTCTAGATGGCACAAATTGACAATGGAACTAATGGAACGTGTGATTTTTTAGTGAATAGAGTGAGGACCGACAATTCTCCGTATATCTGAGAACCTTTATCTTAATAGAAAAATTAATTGTATAAAACTGAAGGAGCGACTCCGTTTTACTACGAGTATAGGAGAATATTATATCTCTTTATATAACTTTTTTGTTTTGTAACAGTCCCTCTAAAAATTGGTGAGCTTCATAGACAACTTCCTGCAATCACAACTTATCCTATACTAACTTCTGCGTCAGTTTACTTTTTGCCTTACATAATATACATAAATAGATATCAACTAATATGAGGTTCTTTAATAAAATGGATGAAATCTGTCCAAAATCTACCTCCAACCCCTACCTATAGTTGACAGACAGGACAAGTTAATTATGAATTTAAATGTCGTCAACTAACTCATCAATCCCAATATTTATTAGTTTCTCTCTACCACTCATGAATATTACTAATGAAACTTTAATTTTTTTGTTTTTGATATTTAAGTTTCCTTTATTTGATTTTTTGTTTGCGCCGACAAGCCAGCCCCGCCAATAGATCTCGCGAGCGCTTGGCGGGCTCTGGTCGACGTACCGCTCCCGTACGACTTTAAGATTCTTTTGGCCTAGAGTAGACCGCAGACCGCCGAAACTGACATTAGCCGGCTTAAAGAATTTGTGATAGGCTCAAAGCGCTTTGGCGATTTATAAGGGTCCTATGATCTACTATATAGGAGTTTCAGGTAACAGAACGCACCGGCGTTCTAAGCTGTCCAAGTGATCGCTGATCTTTATTAGGATCGACCACTTAACCTCACCTAAGGATACTGGATAACTAACAAGGAAACTATGTAAAAAAAATCTCTTAAGTTTAGCAAAGCTCACTGACATATCAAACTCTTCTCAACACACATGTGTACTGATGTCTGGGGAAGATACACGAAAATATTTTTTTAGTATTTCTATTTTTGTTGCAATAACGGTTGAACTATGCAAACACACTTGCCCGCACATACAATACATATGATACATATATCACCAGGAGCATGTGTATGACACATGTGCAAATGTAAAAAAGCTATCTGCCTGTAATATCTTACTTTTTGAACAGCTGTCAGTGCCATCACTCGACTGCAGGACGAATATGAATAAGAGCCAAAGCGATGAAAGCTCCTGCCAATAAGCGTATGTGTGTTGTTGGTACATATGTAAGTATGTGCTCGTAGGTATGCATAGCAAAAATTCTGTTCGATCTTGTTTTGCCTGTTTGATATGGACTTGATGGAATTTATTATGTACTTCTTGTATTCATACATGTGTATGTATGTACATATGTTATTGAGAGTATTATAATCGAGTTAGCAATGAAGCTTCGCTTTGCTTCCTTTGATTTTATTGGTTTTGTTTATTGGGTTTTGGTTTTTTAGTAAATCGTATTTATTTAGTTATTTTTTGCGTCAAAGACAGAGTTGTAAAAGACTACAAAAATACTATACAAATATTTGCTACCAATGTCATCTGCTGTCAGATTGTGGAAAGAATTTGTTGTATACTCATATTAATCCTTATTATCATCTTCTTTATACATATTCAACTGTCTAGTTTAAGAATAATAGAGACAAGATTCATTTTTCATTTCTCGAAGTCACTAATGTATTTTTCTATCAAACGCACGCCAAAATAAAGTAATATTATGGAGATGTCGTAATCACTATTTCTATCATTCTTTCTATGGACATCATATTAATTTTGCGGAATAATATACTTTTAGTTTCTTTCGAGCAGTTTCTAGTTTAAAGTTCGCTATACAAGGTTAGTTGGTTCCGTACTAATATTTTTAAATTATTTTTCAATACCTCTATGTACATATTCTACTGTCTCCAATAAATAATTATTTATGCGTGCTTCATAGTAGCTCAATAATAAAATATTATAGTGAGTTCAATAATTTTCATCGCAATCCCAAAGAAAACGTTCATTGGGTACAATTTTTATTGCAATTATTTTCTAATATTATTTTTCTTTTGAGTAACTGTGCATTGAGTTCTGACGGAAATGCCAATGCAGTCAAGTCGATGGTGATGACTCAAAAATAGCAACACATAACGAATTCACCTATAAATAGAAACTTCAATATAAGTTTGGATGGAAAATGCATTTCCGAAACGGGTCAATTGGAAAAAAACGTTATTTGAAAAATTCAAAAAAGTTTAGATGAAAGTTGTTACATACTGCTATTTCGAGCGGTATTTGTTCTCACTATGGTAAGCAAAAATTTTAAACTAATAATTTATATTTGGAATAATCGTCAAAATACGGCTATAATATAGGAATAGTATTTGACAATTGAAAAAGAGCGCTGATGAAGGTTTACGGTGAATATTCTCATTCGATGACGAATGCCAAAGCTGGTTTAACGAATTTCAGACCATTTTACAGCAGTGTAATTGAGTTTTTGTGAAGCTTTGTGACCGTCGGTAAAACATGGAACCACTGGTAGACACCACTCCTACTCAGTGAACAAGTTTCGAAGCAGAGTAACACTTAATATCGGTCTGAAAAGTGATGGCGATTCAAAAGCTGTGATCTACATCTACTACTTAGAGAAATGAAAAACGGTCATAGAGCTCTATAATGTCGAAATATTAGCGAATAAAACAGTGCTCTACTGTGCGACTTATTTTTTTTTTCAAACTTGAAAATAACACAGAGGAGGTTATTGCCACCCTGGAGGCCTAATTTGAAGATGTTCGGAAAAAGTATTTTTCAGACAATAGTTGGCGAGCCGCTGAGAGATAAACTGCAATTTTTCCAACATTTTCGTTTCTCAAGATAGTTTACTGTTTATATTAAAATTTAGAGAGTTAAAAAATAACCAAAATTGCGAAACTGTAAAAGTATATTCAAAGAAACTAGCAAATTTAGCGTTGTTTCTTCTTTGACCCATAAACAAATAGCTTAAAACAAAAGGCAATAGAAATATTTTTAGAAAAAAAACACACACACATTGCCACAAGAAAAAAGTGTGGCACCACGCGCTTGAAAGCTAAAAGTTTAACGCTGCTGACAAAAAAAGGTACAAAAATGTAGCGAACAAATAACAACAATAAAAATGTGGCGTTTATCTCGAGCCATTCGAAATTTATGTACCTTGCAGCATGGTGTTGCACGTTGCCGGTTGCAAATTATTTTCTAGAAAATTTACACCCCTGCCAAATAAATATAAGCTAGAGGAATTGCACGAAATAAAAGAAACCATCTAAGGATATGCGCCGTGTAAAAAAGTGAAGCGTAGCGGTGGCATGCAGGTAGTTTTACATTTAAGCGGCTTTGCCGCGTGCATCGTAAATTTCTGCACTATTCCCGACATGATTCACAGGTAAATCACCAACTGACTGCGCACTGTGAGCTGTCGCACTGAAGCATTCGCGGCAAGTTGCGCGTACAAACACTGAAACAAAAAAAATACAAATGGGTGTGCAAGTGTGTGCCACGCTTGCCGTTTGCTTTCCTTCGAGCTGCCAGTCATGACTTTTCACCGCGGATGGCAACAACAAAACACTGGCCGTCGTTAGTTATCCTTTTTTGCTGTCACAAAGCGAAAGCGTAGAGCAAGCGCGTAGAATGAACTACTTGCAACTGGCACTGGTGCATGCCACATCAACGCATGCATGGCTAAGTGTGTGTGTGTGTGTGTGGCGCTTATTTATGCAGTTCACTGGCATGATACATGTGCCACGATTTATTGTTTTCTGTTTTAATGAAGCCGCCACTTTGATTTGCGCTCTCCGCCAACAAACTTCAAAGGGTGCCACATCGCATACTAGTACTAGTATGTTGCATAGTAGTACTGCCATCGCATTCCATGGCATATGCATAAGCAGTTGCTAGGAGAGATACATATATATGTATGCATGAAAGTGATATAACTTGTACAGGATGGGAAAGTTAGATGTAATATATAGCTACTTTCAGGTGCGTAGCCGCAAAGGAATTCATTGAACTTTGGTGAACGCAAAGAAAAACCCTTGTATGAAAATACATCAAACATAAGGTATTTTTTTACGCGAGTGGCAAGCGAACGCTCTACTATTATTAGAAATACTGTGGTAACTTCTTCGATATCACATCGATGGATGTAGAAAGGTATGCGATCCAAGATTCCAAGAAGTATCAATCTCAGTCGCGGATAAGTGATATGCTTTACACTATACATGGCTCTATTTTATTTATTGGAACTCTGAACGGGGTATATTAATTTTGCCACGAAGTTTATAAGACCCTGAGGAAAACGTCGGAGACCCTATTAAATATATACCATGCATAAATGACCAGCATGAGCTGAGTTAATTTAGCCATGTCCATCTGTCTGTACCCGAACTAGTCCTTAAGTTTTGGAGATATCTTTTATCTCCAATAAGTTGCTCATTTGTCAAAACCGCCGATATCGGACCACTATAGCATATAGCTGCCATACAAACCGAGCGATCGGAATCAAATGCTTGTATGGACAACTTTTTCATTTGAAAAGATATCACGAAATTCAGCATGAGCTATTGTCTAAGACAATGGTGTAATCTCCGAAGAAATTGTTCAGATCGGATAACTATATCATATAGCCGTCATACAAACTGAACTAACGGAATCAAGTGTTTGTATGGAAATCTTTTTTTTTCACTTTTTCACTATTTGTGAAGGGTATTGTAGCTTCAGCGCAACCGAAGTTAAGGTTTTTTTAATCTGGCCTTAACTTAAGTTTGAATTAAAGATCTTAGTTATTACAGCATGTTGCGAAAATGATGATGATTGTTTAAATATACGTGTGTCATGCCACCGAGAAAATTATGATTTACGAGTAAAAACCACTCGATGTAAAAATATATAAGACATTTTGTTAAAAAGCATTTTAGAAATTTTTTAAACATAGTACCTTTTCTTCTACGATATTCTATGATTGACAATAATTTGAGTAAAATTAGTGCTAAATAATGGTATACTGGTAATTTATTTAGTATTATATAAACAAAAAAAAACTGCGGTAACGGGTTACCTCCTCCTTTCGCTGTCATTAGATGTATGAGGCATTGACATATGTTTAATTTTTTCAATATGTCAGAACTGTAGCAAGTTGAATGACATGAATAACGAAAAGCGGCAACTAAGATTTAGCAAAATTCGCTTGCCTTAATGCAAACCAACGATACGATACAAGCAGACATATATTAACATAAGGTGGAAGCTTTAGCAGAGTGGACTGGTACAACACGTTCTGAATTAAAAAAATAATAAAGTTTATTATTCAAAATCTATCAAATGTTCAAAAAAGTCAAAAAGCGATTTCAAGCAAAAATTAGTTCATCACTGACATTTAATCTCAATATCAGTATATTACAAGATCACAAAGAAAACACTTCACTTTGCTTTTTATTAAAGCAAATATATATTCTGCAATTAAACTCAAACAACTTCAAACTTACAAACAATAAATTTCAATATTGAAATTGTCAGACTTGAATACAAAATTTTCGTTTCAAATTGTCTATCTTTCAATTTTAAGTTATTTTCTAATTTCTATATCTAACTAACTGGTGTTTAATCAAAGTCCAACGATAATTTCGGCAAAAGCAAATTATTTAAGTTGATTCTAAGTAAAATCGCATGCAACTGTCAAGCGTTTAGCGACTGGTCTGCGAGTGAAACGAACAAGGCTCGGACCTGTGATGTGATTGTGTGGATAGTGTTAGAAAAAGCAAATATCCTGCAGTGAAGTAAATATAAAGAGTAGAGTTAAATAACTATATGTAAAAAAGAAAATTCGTAATATTCTCGTTTCATAAATGCCACAAGTGAAATTCCGTTACTAACACAAATCGCAATGAGTGCTTCAGGTAAGTTGTGGAAATTATTTTATTACATGATATATTTATTGTTTGTTGTATCAAAATATTGAGAGGGGCCAATATGACCCCATATGGCAAATGTGATCACACTTATTTTCCTGCCACCATGCAAACAAATTTATAAAACCAAAATGTATCATATGTATCATACTCAAATGGTTAGAAAGTGGTGGTTGAATTGAATCTGACCGCATGAGACCGCACGAAGTGGTCAACATGCTACTTTACATGCTTCAATCATATCCAGACAATTTCTGTTAAGGCAGTTATTTTTCGCTTCAATTAAAAGAAGACAAGTAACCCACAGTTGGCATATATTGATTTGTAGTATTTGGTATTTTGATTTTTCGTACCATGCCAAATCGTATGGAATTGCTAAAGTTGGTGATTTTAGCTAGATTTCTATTTTAAGTTAAAAAGGATAATTAGATCGTGAAACGTTGATCTGCTTTGTATTCTTATTTCTCATTTTGTTATTGGAGCTTAAGTCCATTAAGGTGCGGTGTACTAGCGCAGTAGTAGTTTTGGTGTTTACGAATAGCAAAGCGCCTCTTAAAATATGTATAAATACAGATAAAATACCTCGGACCTTTTTACTTGCTTATATGATTTGACATAAAGTTCCCAATTTCCGACACATTTTTGTGTTAGTGTGCCAAATCGGTCACTTAATTCAATGTATTCCACAGTCTGAGCGATTCGCTTAATTTCTCTTAAAGCCAATGATGTTTGAGAGCAGAAAAAAGTCGCTGCGTACCAGATTCGGATGTGAGAGTATTTCGAGACCCATTTTATATTATTTTGTCATCGTTTGATTATGTTGATATTTTTGCCTGTAAGAGCATATTTTGCACGTCTGAAGTAATCGGTGCTCATATGATTTTTTAAGAATAGGTGTTACGAGAAAGGATAACACTTATCGCGCTAAGTTTTTGTATTACCTGCATTTTTTATGAATAATTATAAATTAAGCGGTTATATCCACTTTTAATTTCAAAATTTTAAATTTTTCTCGTTTTTTGAAAATTTGAAGTTAATCCAGCGAATAGCTTCGAAGATATAAGCATAGCATATTTGAATAAACGAATTAATTAAACAATAATTTAAAAAAATTGTAAATGTTCGGTGAATCTTTATTTACTTTTAAATTCCGTGAATGTTAACATTTTCTTTAACTGTAAAATAAAGTGGCTCTTCAGAAAAAAAAATTACAAAACACACGTTTTTACTGATTTGCAAAATTCCAAAATTATTATCAATTTAAATTTAATTCAATCTGACATTCGTAAAAGTATCTGATAATCTCATTGTCTCTATCTTTTGTTGCCTTATATTATGTTTCATTTTCGGAACGCTCTTCTTCAGTGCGTGGCCGCTTTTCTTCCGGACTTTCTGCCTCCTCGTTATCCGAATCGCTACGCTGGCTTACATTGTCGGGAAATCTAACCATGCGCAGAAATCGTTCCAAATCCGGATCACTACAATCGTAGGGATAATCAGTGCGACATACGGGACAACGCAATTTGCCGCATTTCTGCATGGCCTCAAAACATTTTAGACACACATAATGTGTATTCTCACAGTAGCGTATGTCGCGTTTAATGAACTCATAACAAACGACACATGTGAAATTCTCCACGCATTTTTTATTCAATTCCTCATCCTCCTCGTTAAAGTTCAGATCCTCCCATGTCGGCGCGAACACATCATCGCTGTCATCAAATTCACCAACATACAAACGCATCTTACGCGAAGTTATCTCTTCACAGAGATACTGTATGTAATCATATGGCAATTCCACGTCGTAGGTTTCAGCGGTCTCTGCACTAAGCGATTTATATGGTCCTAGGTATTCAGCATGCCCGTCACGATTGAGTCCAAACTTAATTGTGTAATTGATCGGTTCTGAATCACCTATGTGAAAGACGCCGCGATTTATTTCGGTCTCAGAATCTTCAGATGCGCAGAACCAGTAGATACCACTTGGACCGCAGAGCAGAAATGCCTCTGTGGCGACGTCATTGAAGTCGAAATCATAGTAATTGTTGCCTTTATGCTCGCGTATGTACTTCGGGTGGAGGGCTTCGCAGTGCGAAAAAATATCGTTCAAAGAACCGGACCACCCGCATTGTGTTAAACGGCATTTGGTTGACATTTTTTAATTTGTAATTTTTTCTTCTTAAAATCTTATTATTTATTTATTTCTTTTAACTTGCAAGAAACACTTCTATAATTGCGGTATGAATTACACTGACGCTATCTTCAGTAAGCAGGGCGGTTTATGTAGCAGATCATGCAGGTAGTTGAATAGCATCGGTTTTTCTTGGCGTTCTAGATGTATGCATTCTGGTAGAAAATTATAAAAGAATAATTAATAGAAGCTTAAAGCGTTTTTGTTCACCCATAAAAATTTACCTGCAATCATAACAAAATTCGATCAAAGAGGTCTAGTGTTTTGCTTTGTCGTTGATTTTCGTCTCTTAACAATTAAAATGTGCGAATTTCGCGATTTTTTCTGGATTTTGTTATACGGTTTTGTTGATCGCGAAAAATCAACTTTATTAAGGATAATCACTGACAGAATTGACAAGATATAATAAAATCCATCCACACCAAAAATAAGTCGGGTCTGCTAAACCGGAATACATCCGGATTTATATCCTGTCAATAACAAAATATATTTTATTACAAAGTCCTTATCAAGTATGTCATGCAGGGATTAAGAGATGCCCAACTCATCTCTCACTGGAAATGAGCGTGAAATTGCTAAACGTCAAAACCTACGGAACTTCGCCAACTGTCAAATTTCAATAGGTTTAGACGTTTAGCAATTGGAAAAGAGGGACGGCCAGATTGAAATCCTATCAAAACAAATAAATGTGAACAGAGAGATTTGCTGACGCTGTTGAAGATCACTAACCAAAACACTAACCAAAACAATGAAAATGAAAGAAAACGCGAAATTGAAATGTATGTGATGAAATTTTTTTTGTAATGCAATGCTTCGTAGTATTAATTTTCAATTGAAAACAATAAAAAACATTTATTAATCGAGAGCTAATACATTTATTCACTTTATTAGGTTAGGTATTGAAAGTTCAAAAATCAGTTATTTTAATATATCACATTATCACAAAAAAAGATTAAAATAGTTTCTCCACATGTTTTATGGTTACATGTATAATAATATTTAATCTTAATATATGTTGGGTATTTTAATTTAAATGCCCAAAAAATTATTACTTTGTCCGATCTGACTACAGTAAAAAAATTTTATAAAAAACGTTAATTTTGAAGCGCTCTCTCACTGGAATAAGTTGGGCATTCTTTTATCTCGGATATCTAGCTGCTTCATTTACATTCAATTATTTCCGCGCTAAAAATTTGCTCCATCTCTTGCATTGCACATCACCTGTTTCAGTCACACGGTAAGCCAGCTGACAGCGTAGAATTGTATGTTGCCAGGATCACTACATTATCTACACTTATAGTTGATAAGGCAGTTCATATTACTTAACTTAATTATATTATGATAAGACCGCGGTGAACACGTAGACTCCGCCACCTGGTCGTGGACCTCCACGTAATTAAATTAGTACCTTGCTCGAAAAAATTATGTAAATTGAAAAATTGTACCATGAACTAAAAAACGCAAATGCGACAGTTAAGCTTCAAAATAAAAGCTTAAAAAATCACTTATTCCATATACCAATGGAACTTCTGCCACCAAAGGCAACCTTAGTAGCCGAAACACATAAAGAAGAGCTTGAAAATGAAACAAACTGGTTTTTAAAACAGAAAAAAAAAACAGGAGCTATAAGAAATGCAAGGCAAATTCCAGTTTCTTCACTAGATATGTCTCTGAGGTCAGATTATAAAGCTCAAGAAAAAATAGCATATAACATATAAGCCATGGCCCTTCGACAATTATAAGATTGGAAAACTTCAATCAACCCTTGATGTGTTCCTTGATTAATGCAGAAGTCCAAAGTTCATACACTCTTAAACTTACTGCACCCATTTCTTGTAAAATAAACCTGTCAGACAGTTAGACTGTAGAATTCTCTTATGAAAACTTAACCAATCGGAAATTTGGTGGTACTCGTACAAGGATAAGCAATCGCTTGATATACACGTTATAGTATAAAAAACAACCTTGCTCACTCATGTGATCTTAAAAGTATTGTCAGAGAACTTAAAAAACAAGACTTTAAAGTTACGAAGGCCATAAATATAAAAGGAAAAATCGCTTAAATATGTTTATTGGATCATAATCGAATCAACAGAAAGTATCAAGAAATTCTACGGTACCTATTAAACATATTTTAAATTCTGTCGTTGAACTCGAGCCCATCAAGCATTTGAATCTTGTACCGCAGTGCAAATCCTATCAGATGATTTTTTGAGGTGTTATCTATTAATCTATGCATCAGACACCATGATCACTTCTAAATTTGTGAGAAATAGAAGAGGTCGCTAACCGAACTGTTTCGGGATACCTGATCATTAACAAGTCCTCAATCATTAATTGAAGTGAAAGGGACATGAGAAAAACTGATCATCGCGCTTATCTCAGATCGTTTACTGAATAATTTGTCTATGGGTGGGTGACTAGTAAACTTATCTCGATAATATCAAGTTAGGTGATCTCAGATTACATAGACCAGTGTAATTCGTTTTAAGTAATATTTGCTTTTCTCTCAACTTTGCTAGAGCTAAATTATTTGATCCGACAGCGCCGGAGAGAGTTTGATATATAAATGAAAGATATATAGATATAATGTGATGTTCGTTCTTATGTGAACCGTAGTGAGGGCGTTCTGCATCGGCCTAAAAAACTGGTACTCAGAATAGGCAAGATTTGGGCTATACGACGAGTGAGCCAAAGCTTCACAGCCGCTGTTTTTCAAATAATTTTTAAAGATATAGAACTCGACTAGAATCGGTGTTTCGACTGATCTTCCTACGGAAGAACATTTCTTAGTCTACTCATCGTTAAAACTCGCAGCAATAGATAGCGTCTAAGCTTTCTAAATAGTTCTTGCAGGAAGGTCTCTATCTTTATAAAATGTATGCCGAAAATGAGAACATTAATAATCACAACAGCAAAAAAAATGAAATAAATAACTTCCTGAAGAAAAGCAATAGAAAATGGGTTAAATTGAACCTAATATAATTTTCGGTGTCTGAAATCGACAAAGGCATTAGGAAAGGAGAAACTACATAGCTGACGGCGACACCATTAATAACAAAATTGGAAGTTAGACAAACAAATTGCAAATAATCAAACAAAAGGAGAACGTGAGAAAGGGCATGGCAAGCGCGGCGAAAGCGTGTGCGCCCAAAACCATACAAAGCAAATTAGTAGCAATAAACACGTGACAATCAATGCCGAGGCTATGTGGTGAGGAAGCCGAAGGTAATCGTTTTAAAATGGCAAATGACAACGGCTGTCGGAAATAGCGATAGTTATTGCCTCCATTCGATACAAGCGCCCATGCACACACATAGTGGCACACATTTAATACATATGTGTGTGTATAAATGGCAATATGTTGTGTGCAACAAAGCCAGCTGCCTGCTGTGCACTGAAGGCTGATTTTGGTGAATTCTTTTAGCTGTAAGCTGATGGCGCTGCCGCTGACAACAGCCAATACAACAATAATACAAAAAAAAAAAACCGATTGCAAACATGAATTCGATGACATAAAACATGCTGCGCTGTAAGCCTCCAGTTGTCGTCGGCAGCTCGCTGAGCAATCAGTGCGATAAACCCGTGTTGGCGATAAGACTGGCGGGCTGAGCACACCACAGCGTTCCTTGCAAAATTGATGAGCAAATAGAGAAGTGCAAGAAGCAGAACTAGAAGCTAATCGAATAAACTGTTAGTTGTGCGCTGATTTGCTGCAGGAAGTGAAGATTCGAGTGCATTGCTAATTTATTGCTTGATATTTGCACAGAATGCCAATTAATTCTAGACAAATTCATTTTGAATTGCCAAACACAATATTGAAATTGATCAAATATGCCGTTAGTGTGAGACAAGCTGCTTTCCCGTTTGTTTGAACTACAAAGTGAACTTAATTTTGAACACACACACACACATACTTGCGCCATCGAAACTGGGTTAATGGCGCTGCAGTGGAGTTTTCTTTGCAATGGAAACCCCCGTTAGTCTTTAAATTGCCGTTAAGTTGTTTGCTTATTGACATGTTGTGTTGACGTTGTTGTGCTGGTTGTCGGCCACAAACAATCGAATGTTGCAGCTGTGAATATTCAGTGCAAAGGCGGCTTTGAGTGCTATCTGTGTATGTGTGCATAAATGTGGCTTTGTATTTGTAAGTAACAATTTTGTGCTGTTATGCAAGCAATTATTGTTCGAAGTGTTTAGTTGAGGTGAAAACGGTGTAAATTTCATTTTAATAAAGTCATCACTTATTGCAGTCACTTGAGCATGAGTTTATCACTCATATTAACCGAGTATCCCAGTGGTAAGTGCGGCAATTAAATTTTAAGTGCATATATTTAGATATTCTTATTTAAAGAAATAGCGCTTGAAATTAGAAAACTATTTTACAGAAATATTTGAAATTATATAGTGTGTAATTAAAATGCTTGCGACTAAAAACCAATTATTAAAATTTAATATTATGAAACTAATTAAATAAATAAATTAAAATTTATAAAACTGTAAGTTACTTTCGTAAATTTAAGCTTATTTTTCGCTTTCTTTGTTTACAATAATTTATCGGACCAAATATCTCATTCCGAAAACATAAAAAAAAAAATTTTAAAAAATTTTAACAAGAAAAAAAGTTAACCTCGATTGCACCAAAGCTATAATATCCTTCACAAATACAAAAGGTTGTTTAGAAGAACTTAATTCCTATCGTTCAGTTTTTATGGCAGCTATATGATATAGTGATCCGATCTGAACAATTTTTTCACAGATTGCATTATTGTCTCAGACACTAACCAGTGCCATATATCGTGAAGATACCTCGTCAAATGAAAAAGTTTTCCAGCTATATTCCATATTGGTCCGATATCAGCCATGTCGACAAATGAACAGTTTCTTGGTGAGAAAAGGCCGAGTGCTAAATTTCAGATCAATATCTAAAATATTGATATGCTGTAGTGGCCAGATCTGAACAATCAGTGCGAAAATTAAGGTATTGTCTTGATCAATGATCCGTGCCAACTTTCGAGAAGATATCTATCTAAGCAAAAAAGTATTCTACACAAGGTCTTGAGCAGCTTATTGGCAAGTAAAAGATGTGCGCAAAATTTCAGTTCGATATATCAAAAACTGAGGGACTAGTTCACGTATATACTAACTATTTTCTTCTGTTACAAACTTCGTCGCAAATTTAATATACCCTGTTCAGGGTACAAAAATACTAATATATCTAATCGAATTCGGACCAAACTCTTAAAAGATAACATTTTTAAGATTTTAAATAGAAATGTTTATTTATTTCCGAAAAGACTAAATATTTTTGAGTTAAGATAACACTTCGAGTGAGCATTAAGTAAAAAATAAACTTTTCTGTTTCTCGAAGTTAGCCGAAATATTTGTCTTCCAATTCGCAAATTGAGCTTTTTGAAAACATCATATTAATGGCAGTATATACAAACCTAATTCTAAAGTCGGGTCTTGG